ATTTTGTTGTGGGTTTGCTGTTTAATGATGATAATTTTAGTAATGATGTCATTAGCTTTAATGGTCATCTTTTGTGTAACGTCTGACTGCACGCTGTTCCTTCTTCAATGGTCTACAGTGTTGGAGTCTTCATTGTCTATAGGAAAAAAAATAGTACCTTAGGTGAATTAAGATATCTCTGAACATTATTTCCATTTGGTAATTCTGTTTCTTGAGTGGAAACAGCTTAACAGACTTTAATTCAGCTCTATTTTGTACTGTTGTTTTAATGGAATTCTTTAGGGCAGAGGTGTATGGTTCCTGATTGTTTGATTACTCACGGAAACAGCTCAAATCAGACTTTCTCTTACCAAACTGTAACTTTATGGATTGTATATTGGTTTTGTATTTCTGACTTTGCAGAATTAAGATGTGAAGTAAGTTAACTGATTGAGATTTAAAAAAAGAACCTAAAAAAATGTTTGCCCTAAAATAAAATGCCCTTGAACTGTGTGATACTTAACAAGTTCAGTGTACGTTTAATAATTTGTTTCCTCATTTCAGCTTAGGAGTCCAAATGGATGTAAAGTATAGCATTTAAAAACAAAACAATGCACCCTTTTTGGTGTTTCAAAGTATATTAAAACTAGAAAATATTAGAAATTTAAGAGAGAATCCATTTCTGCAATCATTGTGTTAGTGTAATTTTCATTCAAGCCCATTCACTTTTATCTGGGAATCAGTGGATTTAAACAGAATATTCTCGGAAACCTGCATAGTTAAGGGGAAAAAAAGATTAACTGGGTGAATGGTTGTCCTGGGATTGAATTTGATACCAATTGAAAACTTACTAATTTCTTCATTCTCAGGAATAATGAAGCCAAGTTTTCTAAGCATATTAAATATTACATACTAGTGTAATCATTTACTGAAAGCAAAACCACATCACCCAAGTAAGTTTATTTACTACATGAAGTCAAAGTATACCAATAGCCTAGGGTATAACTATGGTCACAGAACTTATGCTAAACAGAATTAGGACCTTCACAAAGAACACAGTCCTGCTCTCAGCTATGTCTTGCAGTCTACTTGTTTTTCTTAGAAGCCACTGCCAAAGCCATCTGAATTAGCTTCTGTAGCTATCAGTCCTCTCCTTAGTTCCATGTTGATCCCAAGCTATGCCTGGTTTTGTCTTCATAGCTGTGTCCTTTCCTTTTTACTGCCTTCACATTACCCTCTCCCTTTCAGACCTGATAAAATAAGCATTCACCCGTGTATTCAAAGACCTTCAGACCAGTCTGGTACAAACAGCTCCCTTTTATATGAATCCATTAGCTGTTAGTGTACAGCAATAACTTGAATTGTGTGTACATTACGTGCCATCTTCATCAGAGCTTATAAAAACCTAATGCATCTATGTAGTTCTTGAAATAAATTTGGAAGTAATGTAAAACTTTCTGGATGTGTTGTCTCTTTGCAATATTTTACTTTCAGTAAGTGATGAGTGAGCCTTCTCCTAGGTTAGTACTGGACTATTTGCCTGACTACCTAATAAGCACAGATTGCTAGATTAATCACTTGGGCAATATTTTTCATTCTAGTTTGCATAAAGCAATATTTTTCTATTTACATGAATCAGAGTTGGAAAATGATGAGGCTGGAAAAATTGGACAGATGGTCTTATATTTTTCTATTTTGTAAATATTAAAGTACCATATGTAGAAAATACGATTTTCTTTTGGTTTCAGAGATGTAGCTAACATGTCTCCACAGAGTTTATAATTGCACTTATGCTAAGAATTTTAAATGGAGTTCGGCCCTTTGCCAAAACTGTGTTACAGTCTCAAATATCTATTTCATTGATGAAGTAAAAATATTCTCTAACTTTGCTTTTCACCTCTCATCATGCAGTTCCTTACATTCTACCTGACATTTATTACTTAATGTATTGCATTTACATAGTTCAACATCAGTTATTACAGTTATTGGAACTGAGCAATGAAATTGTCCTTGAAGCAATACTGCTGAAATGCTAACGTATATATTTCTGAAGCAACTCTACAAGGCTACAAACTCTATAAAAAAATATAGTACCAGACAAGTGGTGGCATAGGACCTAAAAAGCGAGTCTGTGATTTGAAATAAATGTCTGGGCTCTAATCTCTTGAAATTCCCCAACCTCTGAGTTTATTAGTACCTTGCTGTTCCCACCAGCAGTTATATGTCCTGAGGTTAAAGTGAAACTTACCCTGACAGATAAATAAAGAAGTGAGGCTTTGCGTAGCCTCCTGATTTATTACTCTTTGATGCTTATTACAACAAAAATAAAACTTCGTCTGAAACTCATTTCCTTTCCTACACTTAAGCTTGTCTTTTGCTTCTGGTACCATGGACATAAAGACCATAGGTGAGAATGAGCACATTAGTCTCTTTCTTTGTCAGTGCTATGCGTGTGTCCTAAAGGAGCCTTCACTGGGTTCCTTGCTATTGCAATGAGAATGGTACTTGTACCTGCTCTGGTACTAGATTCAACATTTTTACAGTCCACTTCAGTTTCTTCCTGACCTCTAGGCAGTCATGCCCTCTTCCTGATGGTCTTTATGGACTGACAAGTGTTGATGTTAGCAAACGGAGTACACACAGATATTTACTTTTGCCTGAAGGATGTGTTCTTGGGGGCTTTTTTGTGGTTCTTCTTAGCTATTTTGTTACGGGGGGCAGGGTATAAAATCTTAATAATAATTTAAAAAAAAAGTAAGTTCAATTGTGATGATCTCCTCAGGAAAAGTATCCACAATTCAGGTCATCTCATGAAAAATGTTATTTACCGTACAGATGTTTGATTTTTTTTTTTTTTTTTGAGGGGGGTAGAAAATACCCAATTCTGTTAAATTTAGTTTGGCAAACTGATACTGAAGTAATCTTCAGGGTCTTTTGCCTTTTTTTGGTTTGGCTTTTGATATAACTATTGAACAAAAAATTTGACTCTGGTCTAATTCTTGCTTATCCAGGCTGATTACATAAAAATACATGTTAATAGCAAAACTATTTCATGAAACTTTACTCTTAATGTAATAATTGCCACATTAATATGTATGGAATACTACTTAGATAATGATTTTTTCTGAGCTCATCTTTTCTTTAATTTTTAGTATCAACAGGACCGAATACTTTTTGATTTTAGCAGGTTTTGAAGTTCTAAGCACATTATGGGTAAAATTTGTCACACTGAAAAGTTAGTTTAGAGTGTAATACTCCCCACCTCTAGAAATGTTTGTCCTGTTGGATGTTCGTACCAATTACACAAAAGGAATCCAGTGAGCTTGGGACATTCAGTATACACTGTAGTTTGTGCTGAAGTTTTCAAAAAGGTGAAATATTTCCACATACACAGAATAGACCATAATTATTATATTTCAAGACTGAAAACCCCAGATTCTTGAAACAACTTTTTTTTAAACTTCAGATACACCCCAGTTCTCTACTATGTATAATAGTGAATGAAAATTTAGGTTATTTTTTTCTCTAAAAAATTAGTCCTTTTTTTGTCTGTTTGACTTTTTCTGTCTTGATTAGAGCTTAAAATTAACATAACTCTCTTTATCCTTGTTATTGGTTCATGAACATTTATTGACCAAATTTGTATGATAATGGATGTTAAAGAGCTACAGCTGCTTAGGGTGATGATAATGCTAGAATTCTGATTATTGGAGTACATAGTTATTTTGCATAAATAAGCTCTTCACCAATAACACTGGCTGTGTTGGATAGGTTATTCATAGGGTCATGGGACCATAACATAGTTCAAGGTGGAAGGGACTTAAGAAGGTCTCTTGTTTCAACTTGTCTTTCGTCTGTCTGCCATACACCGCTGTGAAGAGCCTGGCTCCGTCTTCTTGATGAATTCCACACAGGTATGGGCGGGTGGCTGTTAGGTTCCCCTGCAGTACTCTCTTCTGCAGATTGAACAAGCCTAGCTCCCCCCAGCCTCTCCTCACCAGTTGTGTGACTTCCAACAGGTTATTCCCTTCCAGGTGCAGAACTTAGCATTTATCCTTATTGAATATTATGGTGTTCCTGTTGATACATTCTTCCAGTCTCTCTAGGTCAATGACCTCCTTCACGTCATTGATAAAGGTGTTAAATAGGAGAGATCCCAGGACAGAACCCTCCAGTACCCCATTTATTACTGGTCTCCAGGTAGAGGATGACCCATTAGCCACTGCCTTCTAAGCCTAACCATCCAACTAGGTTTTTACCAGCTTAGCTGTCCACTCATCCAGACTGTAACACCCTAACTTGATGTGGTGGGTTGGCTTCAGCTGGCATCCAAGCACCCACACAGCCCCTTGCTCACTCCTCTCACCCCCAGCAAGACAGGGGTGAAAGTAAGAAAGCTCATGGGTCAAAGTAAAGACAGGAAAATCACCGGCAAATTACTGTTGTGGGCAAAACAGACTCTAGTTGGGGAATTTAACTTCATGTATCAACCATTAACATAAACATTTAATTACTGATTTGAGTATTGAGAAACAAAGAAGACAAATACTTAAACACTTAGGGAAAACACCTTTTTTGCCCTTTCCCAAGTTCCAGATACCTCTCCTTCCCCATTTCTAGTCTCCACTCCCCTTGTTATCACCATCAATGCAAGTTACACTCAGTCCCTTCAGTGAGGTGATGGGTGATGCAGGAGGTTGGGGTGAGGACATAGTGGCTTCTTTCTGCCATTCCTTCTTTCTCACTCTTTTCTTCCACTGCTCCTTCTGCCTAACTCATCTCCTCTGTTCCGTTGTGGGTTATCCACAGGCCACAGTCCTTTTGGGGGTGTATGTGCTCTGGCATGGGCTTGTGCATGGGCCACAGTCCCTTCAGGGCTGTTACCAACTGTGCCATGGAGGACCTCCTATTGCTCTGGCCTTCTTGTTCCTCTGTCTCGGTGTTCTAAGAGGTGCCACAAACTCCTCCAACTGGCTTAGCTATGTCCTGTAGAGGGTCTGTTGAGGCAGCTAGAACCGGCTATGTTTGTCACAGCACAACCTTTGACCTCCCTCCCACGGAAGTCACCCCTGCAACCATCCCCTGCTACCAAAACCTTGCTATTTATACCCAATACACTTGAATATGAGAATATTGTGGGAGGCAGTGTCAAAAGCCTTGGTAAAGTCAATGTAATTGCCACCCACTGTTCTTCCCTCACCCACTGTTCTTCCCTCATCCATAAAACTAATAATTTTATCCTAGAAGGCAGTGGAGTTGGTCAGGCATTATTTACCCTTGGTCAGTCTATGCTGTGTTCCCAGTCACTTTATTCTCATTGAGTTTTTGGTTTTATGTTCGTGTGTATTTCTATCCCTTTTTCTATTTTTCTTTAATTTTGTCTTCAGTTTTAGGATGTGAGGCTGTCATCCTTCATGTAACATCTCTTCTTTATTTTGATTCTTTTCTCCACCTCTATATATACTCCAGTTCAAAAGATACAGTGCTTAACTGAAACTTCTCAGATTTGTTGAACAGGTTCTATAGTATAGAATGAGAAAATAGAAAACCTGAAAATATAAAATTTAAACTGATAAATGCCAAAATGTATTCACAACCTACTTTATATTTTTCAGCTCTACTTCAAGTTACAATTTCACTTAGCAAAGTTGAGCTCAGTGTGGGTGAATCCAAATTCTTTACATGCACAGGTATGTATTCATTTTACTTGTAGGTACATATTTTTTGTTAGATTTTCAACCTGCATAATTTGAAATTGAATTAATTGATTCATAATATTGACTTAAATTAGCATATTTTTGTATATTCACATTGACTTGTGAGAATTGTGGCTTCACATTTCCAGTCTAGAAACTATTCATCTCAGACTCTGAATCACTCAGTTTGAATTGTCTATATCAGTATAAGTAATTTATGTCTGTTAGGATGCTTCTTTAGTGAAAATATTTTCACTTGTCTAAACTAAGGAGTTAAATAAGCTACTAGGCTAAGCTTTAGTATCCTCTCCAACCTAATGAGACACCCAAAGAGTCTTTTCTGGTGAGGCAGATATCAGTCAAGAGGAGAAGGGTTTGCATTTGCCTGATGTGGATCTGTGATATTGCTGAGTTGCCATCTTCCATTGACAATAACACATTGCCTGACTACACTGACAACCCAACTGACAGTCACTGTTGATCCAGTGACTGCTGAACAGCCTGTTTCTTTCCTTTAAGACTTTATACCTTTCTGTGTTTATTTTTTTCCCTCTTAAATCCTTGAGCTACTGATTATCCTGTCTCAACAATCATACATCTGCCTGCAGTTTTGCCTTGCTTATTTTTCTACAGACTTTCTCACAACTCTCATAATTTAGCAATTCTCTGACATTGCATAGACATTGTGCATTGGGTAGGCATATGCATCACATAATGTCTACCTGAACCTCTAATGTTGGATTGTTTTTTGTTTTTGATTGTAGCTGTTGGTGAGCCTGACAACATAGATTGGTACAATCCACAAGGAGAGAAGATTGTTTCTAGTCAAAGAGTGGTTGTTCAGAGAGAAGGTGTTCGATCACGTCTAACCATTTATAATGCAGATATAGAAGATGCTGGTATATATCGGTGTCAAGCAACAGATGCTAAAGGACAAACTCAAGAAGCTACTGTTGTTTTGGAAATTTATCGTGAGTAACATGTTATCAACTAACAAATGAAAGACTATGTTTTAAAAGCCACTGCTATTGAGAAAGTAAAGCCTATCAAAATATCTTCCCAGGCTCTGAACCTTATCTTCCAAATAACTGCATCTCCTGCAGTTTAGTTAATAGATATTATGACAAAGACTTAAATGAAATGGATGGCCACTTTGTAATATTGTAGATAATTTTTCCTTTGTATCTTAGAACACCATCTTATGAGGATGCACTGTATGCCCCTCATGTATAGAGGAAATATGAGAAAAAAGTTATGTCAACCTAATTCTTATTACAAATACATCTACAACCTATTACAAATATATGCATAAATAAAAGTGCAGGAAGTGCAATATATGCCATTAAAAAAATGGAGTTTAGACTGAATTAGTTACTTTAATGTAATGAGCAACCAAAATGCATTTCAATTACAAACAACTAATTGAGGAGTATATTTGAGAAGTAAATACATTCTATTGTGGTAAGAGATTCTCTGAGAGGGGTTTTTTTTTTTCAGTTTAGTTAAATAACTTTTCATTGTACTATATTCTTTGGATTGATCAAAAATGCCTAAAAGCAATACATTAAACAAGTACACTGTGAAGATATAAGGCAAGGTCTTTGTTGGTGAAAGGGTGGGATGTATGCCAGCAGCCTTTCAGCTGAGTTATTCTCTAATTTCATTGGAGAATAGTTTTTTAATACTCATAAAAATTGTTTGCGGATAGACTAAGCTTTAAGGAATTACAATGAGACAGAAAATACAGAGTAGAATCATAAAGCACTGCTTCTGAAAGGTACAGATAGCTCATAACAAAACACGTACAATTAAAAAAAAAATCTATTGATAAAACAACCATTAAAATGGTGATAGGAGTTTCAAGAGATTACATGATGGCTTGAAAGCTCAAAAGGAGCTTTCCAAGTTTTGTGGAATTCATTTGTATGATTAAAACTGCCAGTCACTCCATTAGCAGACTGCTGAGCAAGGTTGAAATCTTTTGAAGTGTTTGCATGTGGTAACTTTAATAATTCTGAAATTAGATAAACCCAAAGACCTACACAAGAAATGTGAAGATTTGTGGGAACTGACATGTAAAAGTTTCATTATTCATATTTGTGATGTATTGTAAGGAAAAAGGAGGATACAACAGTATATACAGAACCAGAACCACTCCTAGGGTCTGGTTCAGTACTCACTGATGTCTGTGAGAGTTTTTCTTTTGACTTGCATATCGTCAAATACTTCAAATATTTCATACAAATACTTTGTAAAAGTATACAAGAGATGTGTATAACAAAAGTGTGCTCCCTCTGCTGTGGGAACTGTGTGGATTATTTGAGCCTGCATTTGTATCAATGCAAAAGGTGGAGGTAGAGTTGCATTTCTGATTTATGTTCTCCAAAGTGTCCTCTAAAACATAATTGGCAATCTTTGATGCTAGAGAACATAGGTCAGTTTGTTTCCTCTGTGTGCAAGAAAATCTTCCAGAATTTTTTGTCAGGCAATTGTTTTCTGCATTAGAACTTGTATGAGATCGTGGGTTAATGCCATCTTGGACTTCTAACACTAGATTCTAATAATACTAAACTTATTCAACCCACTAATAAAATTAAATACCAAGGTTGGTTATTTGGGGTTGGAATAATTAAAAGCCTCATCAGGCCTAAAAACATCTTGTTATTTCCTCAAAAAAATGCTACAAATTCTTATGACTTAATAATACTAAGTTTTTCCATATAGTTTCCCACTGGCTTTTAAGATTTTATGTTTTACTCAGCTGATGGTTTTCACAGTCAGTGGGGCTAAAGGTCCACCTTTTAAATGAGACTTCTCCAAATAATTTTGGTGATTTTGATGGAAGTTTTGGTGGAATAAAAACATGAGGTTTTAATTCAATAATAAGATCATGAGGAATAAAACACACAAGAGAGTAAACAGACTATTAACCTGAACATATAGACCTCTAAAAAACTACAGTTTCAAAACGGCTCTGGAACATTGAAAATAATGAAAAATATATTCATAAGACATGCTTAGTTTATATAAATAAAACAAAGATTTTCATAATGCAAAATGATTGTAAAATCATTTCTACAGACAGAGTGAAAGTCATGTGTCCAGGACCATTTGTGTCTTATCTGAGAAAATGATATTATGGAAATAATTCTGTATTATCACAATGAGAAGTCTTAATAGTCATATTTATCTGATTTGGTGTCACATATAATTTTAATGCTAAGTGAACTGGAAGACGCTTACTATATTCTGTTTTCTTCCTTTTCAGAAAAGCTCACTTTCCGAGACATAATATCTCCACAAGAGTTCAGGCAGGGAGAAGATGCAGAAGTTGTTTGCCATGTTACTAGTTCACCTGCTCCCATTGTCAGCTGGTTGTATCGGAATGAGGAAGTCACAACTATTGCTGACAGTTAGTATTTTGGTAACTCTTTAAGTTATACATTCTAATCAAATTATTATTGTAAAAGAAGACTAATCACATTATAGTGGAGGGTGGATTTTGATTAGCCCATCAGCTTAAGTAGAATTTAACCAAGTTCTGTGGTTTATAGAGAATCTATATGCAATGGTTTCCTTCATGTATCATTTTTTTTCCAATTGGAAATTTTGTCTAGATGTAACATGAGGGTCCAAACACCTAAAAGATTGCTGGGAGCTCCTTCGCAGGAACTTTTCCTGGGTTGCCATGTATGTAGTTGTTGAACACATTTTTAAAACATACACAGATAAACTTCACTGTGCACACAAAGATATGACACTGAGCAAACACTGCATTGACTTTGGTATACTTGCACGTTAGCTCAGAGACTTTCAGGTGGATAGGCTTTTTGCATTATTGTGAGAATTTACTTGTATGAGTGTAAGCTACCCTTTGAGTTACAAACAATGGGGGATATAGGTGATCTGTTTAGGCTAGATTCCCTAACAGCTAGAGTGATTAAGTTAGGTGAAGATGAATCTCACCTTCCCCACATGCAAGTTCTAAGCTTGTAGAGAGACAATTAGGCATATAGAATTTGTGTGATTTACTCCCTCAAAAACTGTGAACCATTTTTTCAGTGCTGTCTCAATAGTCTTCATTGCCTTTATGGAAATCAAGACTTTCCACTTTTTCTGGAAATGGAACTAACATTGTTGATGAACCAGCTTATCCATCTTCTCATAAGTCTTTACCTCTGCATGTACTAAAACTCAAGGTTGTAGTGTATGCACTTAAAATTCTTGTTCTTTAGAAATTAAATATTATTTTTGTTTCAAAATGAAAATGAAAAGTTATATTTGGTCTTTTATGAAATCACATACACAAATGTGGAGCCGTTGCTGGGGAAAAAAAAAAGCTTGTTTGATATTTCGGGACTCAGTCTTAGACTCCTCTCCATTATGAAAGAAATTTTTGATCAAACTTCTTTCTCGTTAATTATATTCTATCCCTTCTGTCATCTAGACACAGACACTAAGAAGAAATAGCAAAATTCTACCCGTAGAAAAAAGATTTGAAATTTTGACGTATATAATTAAACAGTGATGTAGGTGAGACATAGAAGATTTTGAAAAATAAGAACTCTGTAAACAAGATTTGGCAATTTAGCAAAAAGTCTTTTTCAAGGATGCAGCTCAGAGCTTGAAAAAGTAACAGCGCTTCAAAGATCTCTCTCAAAAATTTTTATTATTGCCTTTTTTTTTGTTTTCCAATCAATCTGGCTGCTATTGGATTAACAAAGGAAATAAAGCAACATTTCCTTTCTTTTTCAAAATCATACATTCTGAAGATTCTAAGTTTTTAAATTTCAATGCGTAAATTTGTCTTTTTAACCATTTTTTTTCACAATGCTTACAATGTGAAAAGGTAGAATGATAGAAACCAGTTTTAATTTAAACAGCAGAATACTTACCTTATGTTCTGATCTAGAGTAGTATCCAAGTAAGATCCCAGTCATACTTGGGAGGAAGTGAGGTTTTAAATAATGTAAAAATAGGACATTGTGAACTTCGTGATTTTTGGCAATGTCTGTATGAGTTTATAATGGAGTTGGAAAAAGAGTATACCCGAAGTCTTACAGTTAAGAATTTTTTTCATTTTTTGTGAAAAAAAAACTGTTTCATATTATATTTCCAGCTTCAGAATCTCCAGTGAAGGATCAGTACCTGTAACCTATTTGCATAATTTTAAATTAAATAACATCAAATTTGTCTGCCATATTCTAAATGGTGCCTATCAAAAAAGAAGTAACGAATTATTCTTGTTGGGTTTTAGTTCATAGTAAGTTAAAATACTGAATAATTTCATATCCAAACTGAATTGTATATTGCAGTTTATTTGTGGGGCATGAGAAAACAGTTTCTATTTTAAGCATTCTAGCACTGGCATTATAGGAAGACGTGAGATACTGTCATTGCTTCAATTTCATGGTTTTTCTGTTATATTCTTGACCATTCTTCTGTTGTATATGTTACAACTAGTAGGATTTTTGCAGCACAGATTTTGACTATTTCAGTTTTGCAAATTCTTGACAGTTACTAGTATCTATATTTGTATATTCCATTTGAACAGAAGACTGATTTCTTCTCCTAGAAGGCCTGTGCACAGAATCAGAAGTGAAAATTTAAAGATTTTTGCTGTGTAGTAGGCCTATAGCTGACATAGCTGTAGGTGAAATAGCCTTTCACAGCATTCTGAACTAGTTTCTGTATATTCCCAATACCTTATCTGCTCCACTGCTAGATCGTTCTAAGATTTAGAAACTCTTTTGAGTTCTACAAAGGTGTGAGTAAGAAACTGTGGGACTGGCTGTCCATCATTCTTCGGTAAAAGAAAAAAAAACACAAACCCCAAAAACTAGGTGAACAATGACCTCCAAAAGTCTTTCTGGTCTTATGTTGTATGTGTAAGGTTTAATAGAGCAATATATAAAGCATACAGAGCTGTGTGCGCACCATCTCTATGTATCGTGTTGTATTACTAGTTTATTCTACCGCTTTGAACCTCCTGAGTGTTCTATAGTACATGTGAGTCCATCAAGATCTAACCTCTGCTGTTAAGATTTCAGTGCATTTGTTGACCCAGCTGGTCTATGCACAATTGATT